AATAAATATAAAACACTAAAAACTGGGTTCCGATACTGTGGTTGTCACAGTGCAGATAGCTCATTGTGTAGCTTTGTAGTTAACAACAAACAAACAATAAAGCTTAACTGTAGGCGGGACAGGGGTAAGTTTACAAACTTACAACGCTAAAATACGGGGTTCCATTCCCTGCGCTGGACACAGCAGATAGCCCAGTGTTAAGTTATTAGCAATTCACTCGAACAAGTTTCATATTTTACAATTATAAGTAGTTGAAAAGTGACATTTTTTTTTTATACTGCGGTTTATAAGTTATTTAAGGCTTATATTTGTACCTTTATTTATTTCAAAGCTTCTGCTTTAATTGATTATTACTTTATTAGTATTGATAGTCAACTGTGATCCCCTTAAATCCCCGCAGCACAATCAATCACTCACGCCTCTCCCATCTACTGGCAAATCTTCAAAACAGTAAACACTGTCAATATAATGAATCAGTTGATTATAAAATCTCCCCAGTTGGCAAATTGTCGCCATCTAGTGACAAATATGTTGAAGCTAATAAATTATATTTGTTAGTTTTACGAGTGGCTTAGAGAGACAAAGTTATAATCACCCTTGAACACTGCTATACCAGTTGGTATAGCCGCATTCTATATATATTTATTTATATGAAGAAATTAACGTAAGAAACATGAACGAAATACAGAATCAATCTTTAGTGTATAAGGATGGAAATAATTAACACGTGTAATTAAATGGGAGCTACTTATAATGTTTATGTAACAATGAAATAGTATTCTACAGTAAAATATTGTATATCTACAATCTAAACCTCATCTTGATTGTAGTTATATTTTGAAATTTAAAATGCTCTGGAATTTGCCTGTTGAACTAGCTAAATTTCTTTCTTTTTACTGATTTTAAAAACGATTCAAAATATACTGACTTCAAATGTAAAGTTATTAGATATAAACAACAGAACGCTTTTTTAAAACTCGCACATGAGCTTACCAAAAGTCTAGTTAAAAAAAAAAAAGAGTAAATCTTTATTAATTTTGACTTATAATAAACTCATATGTACTTTTTAAAAGTCTCATATTTAACTCAAAAACCAAGTTGATTGAAAATTCTTATACGTTTAAAGTCTGAAGCGGGAATGGTTATTTTGAATACAGCAGTGAACAAACTGTAACCATTACAATAGGTTTGTTTGTTGTTAAGCGCAAAACCACGCTGTGGACCGACTATCTATTCTCTCCCTACCGCAGGTATCGAAACTCAATTTCTAGAGTTATAACCTCTAAGAATTACCATTGAGCTACGAGGGAGGGGGGGGCATTATAAGAGGAACAGTTGCAAAAACTTCAGAGTCTTAAGTTTTATTCTAACTCAATACTTAAGATTTAACTTAAATTCTAACTCAATACTTAAGACGATTGTTTGTTTGTTTGTAATTAAGCACAAAGCTACACAATGGGCTGTCTCTGTTCTGCCCACCACAGGTATCGAAACCAGGATTCTAGCGTTGTAAGTCCGCAGACATACCGATGTGCCACTGGGGGGGGGGGCACTTAAGATGAAACTTAAGAATTTCGTAAAATATTTCCTAAGTTATTTCACAAAGCAATCCTAGGAATATCTTGGCTGAGGACGACTTAAGAAATATCATAAAAAAAAACAACGCATCGGGAGTATATCGATCTTCTAAGTGAAATAGGGTTGTTAAATATAATTTACACAAAATGCCACTTGGACGTATATTTTGTCACACTTTCTTATTGTTGTCATAAATGTAACGTGTCCTTATTCTTACCTATTTGAATAAGATTTTTTCGATTGATTAAGAAAAATTAATTCTATAAAACACTACAAGTCAGTTTTTTGAGTTTTAGCGTTACACAATAGGTTATCTGCTTTCTATCTATCTACCGTTAGGAATCGAACCCCGAATTTTAGCGTCATAAGTTCGTAAACTTCCCGCTGATCTACTGTGGGACCACTAAAGACATAGAATACTTTTTTAAGTAGGAAGTTTTCAATGATGTCCAACATCGGACACTACCTCACCCGCTGTTTTTTTTTACATAAAAACTGTTTTAATATATCATTGTAATTTATTTAAGTCGCCTGTTTGCCTCTCATAAAGTTAAGAAAGGCTCTTAAGATACGAGACCATTCCTGAAATACTGTAGGGGAAAAAGATTTTTCCTGAGTTAGGAAACACGTTCTTTCCAAAGATACATTCTGTTTTTATCTTTTCAAATGATTTATTGTCCTTTTATTTATTGGTAACGTCTGCTACATGCATAAATGTATATATATATGAATCTTGAATCACAAAACACCAAATAAAATACGTACAATGTTAAATAATGGGGCGTATCTGAGATTTTGTAGGATTGACTGTTAAATAACGGGGCGTATCTGAGATTTTGTAGGATTGACTGTTAAATAACGGGGCATTACTGAGATTGTGTAGGGTTGACTGTTAAATAAAGGGGCGTTACTGAGATTGTGTAGGGCTGACTGTTAAATAATAGGGCGTATCTGAGATGTTGTAGGATTGACTGTTAAATAACGGGGCGTTACTGAGATTTTGTAGGACTGACTAGTAAATAACGGGGTGTCTCTGAGATTGTGTAGGGTTGACTATTAAGTAACGGGGCGTCACTGAGATTTTGTAGGATTGACAGTTAAATAACGGGGCGTCACTGAGATTTTGTAGGATTGACTGTTACACAACGGGGCGTCATTGAGATTTGTAGGATTGACTGTTACATAACGGGGCGTCATTGAGATTTTGTAGGATTGTCTGGAGTTCACAACACACTTCACATACAGTTTCTTATTCTAACGTAATGAATTAAAGGCTAAGGTTTAAGTTATTCTCAAGCATTACAGCGAGATCATTTTTTTGTAAAACAGTTACGATCACAAAGCACGCCTATGTTTTTATATGTTTAAAATGTTTCTCGGGTCAAAGTTCACAAACTCTGTAAAACTCAAACTTTTCCAAAATTCCCACTTAATCATTTTCTGAAAACTTCTTATCTTGGAGCTCCTGAAATTTAATCAAAGGAAAGGCTAGTGTCTAGAAAGTTTACATACGAGTATCGTATCTTGAAGCCGTGATACGATTGTATCGATACATCGTCCAATACGATACGATTTATGTACCTTTACGAAATTTGGCAAGCTTTCAGTAAACATTATAAATCTTTTGTACAGAAAAACATCAGAATTTCTAATAAAGTATTTTTGCTGAAAATAAATGATTCAATTAAGGAAGATGAGTATTGAGTACTACATGTTGTCTTCATTAAT